TTAGACACCTAAGACTAGTTAATATGGGTATGATATGAGGAAAAATTTGGTCATTTGATAGAAAATGTAGAAAATGGGAAAGAGAGTACCCCAGGCAACTGCAGTACTCGAGGCAACTACAGCACCCGAGGCAACAACCTCGGGTTATGCCAGGCAGCTGCAGTAGTAGCCCAGGCATATGCCCAGGCAGCTGCAAGCAGCCACTAGGCAAAGCAGACAACTGCCCAGGCAGATACAGCAACAGCCCAGGCAGCTGCAGCAGCTGCAGCAGCAGCTAGGGGTGTTCAAAAAAACCCGACCCGATTTCCCGATGACCCGGTAAATACCCGATGGGAAATTTGGGAAAAAAAAACTGTTTTTTCGGGTCGGGTACCCGACCCGGGAAAATTGTCTCTAATCCGGGTCGGGACATGGGCCGCATTTTTTAATTACCGGGTACCCGTTTACCCGATAATAAATTAATAGTTTCTTTTTTTAAAAAGAAAAAAAAAACCCTCCCTTAAAATAAGCCCAACCCACTTAGAGTTTTCTAGGGTACGCCGCTTCCTTGAGTTCTCTTGACTCTGTCTCTCTTCCTACCTTCTTCTTGAATTCCTTCACCTTCATCTCTCTTCTTTATTTCCCTCTCTCTCTTTCTCCTCCATCTTTATTTGTCCAGTTCTCTCTCCTTCCCTATCTTTCTCCGCCCCTCTTTTTGTTCTGCAAATCTTCATTCTGCAAATCGAAGCAACAACAACAGCAACACCGAAGGCAAGGTGCGGCGTGTATGTGTTTGCTTCAGTAAGGTGCGGCTCCACTTTCATCATTCATGCTCAGATCTACAAGAAGATTACAAGTTTCCAATATAAATAATGGAGTATATTTGTTAATTAATTAGGGATGAATATGTATACCCATTTTATTGTGGGTTTTAGTGTTTTACAATTTAATTAGTAGTAAATTAATTTTTATTGTGTTTGGATTAGTATATTCATTCATGGATTTGATATTAATAACGTGAAAATACTCTTTTAATTGGGTTTTTGTTGGGATTATATTGTATTGATAAGAAAGTTATTTTGTTATTTGCTTTTTTTAATTTATTTTATATATTGTTGATTTTTTTTTACAAGAAATACTATTGTTATGGTGTATAATTATATGAGATATTTTATACTCTTATATATATAAGAAAAATAAACATTAGTGTTCAGAAAGATAAATAAATCTTTTTCAAAAAAAAAAAAAGAAAGAAATTCGGGTACCCAATGTCCCGACCCGAATAATTCGGGTACCCGAAACCCGGGTACCCGAGATATTCGAGTCGGGACATGAGACAAATTAACAAGTACCCAAAAACCCGGGTACCCGGATTTGAACACCCCTAGTAGCAGCCACCAGGCAGCTTCCCAGACATCTGCAGCAGCTACCAGGCAGCAGCCCAGGCACCTACAGTAGCAGCCAGACAACTACCCAGACAGCTGCAGCAGCCACCAGGAAGTTGCCCAGGCAACTGCAGCAGCCACCCGGCAGTAGCTCAGGCAGCTGCAGCAGCCATGGAAGCATCCAGTGCAGCTGTAGCAACCATGGGCAGCAGCCTGGGGATAAAAATTTTTGCCTAGTGAGTGGCACCTCATGAAATTTTGCGTACTTTTTGCGTAATTATTAGTGAATATGGTAAATAAGTCACTTACGTCGATTTTGGATACAAAGTGTACTAAAACTTATTTGGGTACTCATTTGATGTGATATCAAAACTTACACGCCTAGGACTAGGTAATAGGGGTATGGTATGAAAAACAAAAAGGTCAAACGAAAAAAAAAAAGTAAAAAATGGGCAAAGTAGAAGTGGAATAGCCGATTTTGGATAAAAGTCGTCCTAAAACTTAGTAAAATGATCTTTTGATATGATTTCAAACATTAGACACCTAAGACTAGTTATTATTGACATTTTATGAAAAATAAATAGTTCATTAGATAAGAAATGTAGAAAAAAGGCAAAGTAGAAGTCTAATAGCCGATTTTGGAAAAAAAAAATCGTCCTAACACAAAGTAGAATGCTAATTTTCTATGATTTAAAACATTAGACACATAAGCCTAGTTAATATTTAAATGTTATGATAAAGAAATAGTTCATTAGATAAGAAATGTAGAAATCGAGCAAAGTAGAAGTCAAATAGCCGATCTTGGATAAAAGTCGTCCTAAAACTAAGTAGAATGGTCTTTTGATATGATTTCAAACATTAGACACCTAAGACTAGTTAATATTGACATGTTATGATAAATAAATAGTTCATTAAATAAGAAATGTAGAAATCGGGCAAAGTAGAAGTCAAATAGCCAATTTTGGATAAAAGTCGTCCTAAAACTAAGTAGAATGCTAATTTTATATAATTTCAAACATTACTCACCTAAACTAGTTACTATTGAAATGTTATGATGAAGAAATATTTCATTAGATAAGAAATGTAGAAAACGGACAAAGTAGAAATCAAATAGCCGATTTTAGATAAAAACCGTCCCAAAACTAAGTAGAATGCTAATTTTCTATGATTTCAAACATTATACACCTAAGACTAGTTAATATTGACATGTTATGATAAAGAAATAGTTCATTTAATAAGAAATGTAGAAATCGGGCAAAGTAGAAGTCAAATAGCCGATTTTGGATAAAAGCCGTCCTAAAAGTAAGTAGAATGGTCTTTTGATATGATTTCAAACATTACACACCTAAATTAGTTACTATTGACATTTTATGATAAAGAAAGAGTTCATTAGATAAGAAATGTTGAAAACGGGCAAAGTAGAAGTCAAATAGTCGATTTTGGATAAAAACCGTCCTAAAACTAAGTAGAATGATAATTTGCTATGATTTCAAACATTACACACCTAAGACTAGTTAATATTGAAATGTTATGATAAAGAAATAGTTCATTAGATAAAAAATGTAGAAATCGGGCAAAGTAGAAGTCAAATAGCCGATTTTGGATAAAAGTCGTCCTAAAACTAAGTAGGATGGTCTTTTGATATGATTTCAAACATTAGACACCTAATACTAGTTAATATTGACATTTTATGATAAATAAATAGTTCATTAGATAAGAAATGTAAAAATCGGGCAAAGTAGAAGTCATATAGGCCTTATTTGGGAGATTTTGGATAAAAACCGTCCTAAAACTTACAAAACCCTCTTTTGATGTGATTTCAAACCTTAGACACCTAAGAGTAGGTAATATGGGCATTCCATGAGAAATAAATTGTTCATTTGATATACATTGTAGAAATTGGGCAAAGTAGAAGTCATGTCGGCCTTATTTGGGCCATTTTGTGAAAGAAACAAACCTATATATGTTGCCTTTGAAATATTTCACATACATTCATTATTTAGTTTGAATTTTACGTAATATGAGTGATGTTTTATGTTTGGTTTTTTATTTTTTTTTCAAAGGTTTGCAAGATTCAAAGGGAAGGCCCGTTAACAAGGGAAGAATTTGATGAAATTCGTGACATGTGGGCTTTTTTAGTGACATTTGATGGCATCTAGGTAGAATAATATATATTAGATAGTGAGATTGAGTTTTTTTTTTATCATGAACAATTAATATTAAGTTACTTTTTTTATATGTACATTAATTACATATAATTAGTACTATATATTATTTGTGAGTGTTATATATGTTATTATTATGCATTTTATTGTTTTTATTGTTTTATTATTCTTAAATTTGTAATATTTTAATTATTATTAATTATTAATATTAATTATTATTATTAATAATAATATTAGTAATAATAATAATTTTTAAAATGACATATTAATATGTATATCAAAACAGGTCACTAATACTATTATTATTAATTAATATATATTTTGGAAAAAAATAAACAAACGGCAAGCGATTTGGCGTCAAAATCGATTGTCATTACACTTGACATAATATTATGTTAAGTGCAGATGGCAAGCGATTTTGGCGCCAAACCGCTTGCCATTCTCCCCTAATGGCAAGCGGTTCTGAACCGCTTGCCATTTAAATGGCTATTGGAAAGCCCCTAAGCCCATGCAGTTCAGAACCGCTTGCCATTAGGGGGTTTGAACCGTTTGCCATTACGTTTTTTCTACTAGTGATATAGCCATAAAAACAAACTGGCCATAAAAACGACATCTTAAATTATGTTATCTTTTTAATATAAATGTTGCCATAGACGGCAACATAGATATTAATGTTACATTTTTAAAAAATAGTTTTGTTATTGTTATCTTTTAATGCAACAATTATTATGTTTGTTGTCTTAGACAAGAAAAAGGTAACACTTAAAGCGATTGTTGCCTTATATAGTCTAGAACGACACTTTTTTTCTCTTTTACTTTAATTCAAGGTAACAAATAAATTTTATTGCGTTAAATTATAAAGAGTAACATTTTTGTAAGTTTTGCAATCTTAAGTGTTGTCTATTCTCATTTTTTTGGTAGTGGGAGAAGCGAGAGAAATAGCCGAGAATTGAATAAAATAATAAGAAAACCATTAAAAGCACGCATTTCTCTAAACTAGCACACAAACACGCAAATCAAGCATTATTCCCTAAAAAAACGACATAAAAGACTAAAAGCGATCATAAAATAAGAAGAAAATCTAGCCTAAGAGTGCCATAAATGGCACGCATCAGAAACACAGACAAGGAAGGAATAGGATTGATACTCTCTTTGATGAGAATGATGTTCAGCTCAAAGATACTGCAAATATTGAGGCTGAAATCAATGATTTTTATGAGAAACTACTTGGTACTAAAGCTGCTTCTCTTCCTGGGATTGATCTTAATACTATTAGAAGGGGAGCTCAGCTCTCTAGAAGTGCTCAACAACTTCTCATTGCTCCTATGACAACTGCATAGATTGATATTGCCTTAAAGGGTATTGACAGCTCCAAAGCCCCTGGGATTGATGGATTTAACTACTTTTTCTTTAAAATGTCCTGGGAAATTGTAAAGGATGACATCTATGATGGTGTTCTAGAGTTCTTTCCATGCTGAAACAATGGAATTGCACTACCATAACCTTAGTTCCTAAGGTTCCTAACCTTACTTATGCAAAGGATTTCAGACCTATTGCATGTTCTTCTGTTCTTTATAAACTAGTGTATAAGATCCTCACTGCTAGACTTACTAATGTTCTTTCTGGGGTTATTGATGGAGCTCAAGCTGGTTTATTCCTGGCAAGCATATTAGGGATAATATTCTGCTAGCTATTGAACTCATCAAAGGATATGGGCATAAGTTTCTTTCTCCTAGATGCATGTTGAAAATTGATTTAAAGAAAGCTTATGACTCTGTGGAATGGAGTTTCCTTTAGGCTGTTATGCCTGAACTTGGTTTCCCTAGTCAATTTATTAGCTGGATCATGGTTTGCCTTTCTTCTGTCTCTTTCTCCATTTTGATCAATGGCATCCCCTCTAAACCTTTTGAGGTAAAGAAGGGGCTTAGGTAGGGAGATCCCATGTCTCCTTTTCTATTTGCAATTGGTATGGAATACCTGTCTAGATGTCTTGTTGAGTTGCATCTTGACCCTAATTTCAACTATCATCCTAGATGTGATAAAATGATGCTAACTCACTTAATGTTTGCTGATGATCTTTTGTTGTTTTCCAAAGTTGATAAAGACTCTATCACATTGCTTTTTCAAGCTTTCACTAAGTTTTGCTTGGCTTCTAGTCTTTCTGCAAACTTAGACAAGAGTGAAGTCTACTTTGGTGGACTTTCTGATGTTGAGCAAGAAGCTTTGAGAAGCTTGATTGGAGTGGTCCCTGATACTATTCCTTTCAAATACTTAGGGGTTCCTTTATCCTCTAAGAAAGTCACTATTGCTCAATGTAAACCTTTAGTGGACAAGGTTACTGCTAGAATTAATGGTTGGTCTGCTATGCATTTATCTTATGCCGGTAGATTGCAGTTGGTTAAGAGTGTTCTTTTTGACATTTAAACTTATTGGGCTTAGATTTTTGTTTTGCCTAAAAATATACTCAAAGAAATGGAAAACAAATTCAGAGTTTTTTTATGGATTGGGAAGGCTAATCCTTCAAAGAAATCTTTAGTGTCTTGGTCTCAGGTTTGCCTTTCTAAAGTTAGTGGTTGGTGGAACTTGATTTCCCTCCCTGAGTGGAATTCTGCTGCTGTTTGTAGGCTGCTTTGGGATCTTGCCCATAAAGCAGATAACCTTTAGGTAAAGTGGGTTCACATCTACTATTTCAAAGATAGGACATGGTGGTCTAGCCCTGCTCTTAAAAGGTGCTCTTGGGTTCTAAGTAAAATTTTGAAGGGTAGAGCTATAATTGATGGTATTGGTGGATGGGGTTCTGTTCAGCATGGTGATAAAGTCAAAATAAAAAGATTTATCAGCTGATCAATGTTCTTGCCCCAAAAGTTACTTGGAGAAGGGTCATCTACAACAATGCTGCTTCTCCCATAAGCTTGTTTATTCTTTGGCTTGCTGTGAGAAATAGGTTGGTTACTAAGGATAGGTTGCTCTCTTGGAATCTTCAATGTGATCCTATTTGTTTTCTTTGTAACCAACACATGGAAAATGTACAACACCTTTTCTTTGTTTGTACTTATGCTAGAGAGATTTGGGTGAAGCTGTTGAATCTGTTTGGGGTCCACAGGCCTGCTTGGGCCTTTGATGCTGAAATTTCCTGGATTTCCAGAATCTGCATGAAAAATAGACCAAAAAATAGATTGTTGGGTATGTGCTTTGCTGAAGCTGTCTATCACATCTGGCTGTAAAGAAATTCTTTGATTTTCACAGGAAACTGCAAACCTATTGACATCAGAAGAGTTAAGAGCACACAAACAACAAGCCAAGACCAAGCTTCCATTCCAAAACAGTCCACAAGAAACCTCAAACCCCGAATTTACCCGACCCCGAAAACCTAAAAAACTGAAAGAGGAGCGTGGGCATCGAAGGGCGTGAGGTTTATTTTCAGAAAATTCATAGCCTCATCAATCCCCCTATCTAATAATGTTCAGCATGTACATCCGTATGTGCTTGGAGGTTTTTTTTTTGATGAAAACAGAAGCATATATTACTTGGACATTATGTCCTACATATTACAAACCAAGAGTTCACAACCTACATATACCCAAAAGGTAGGTTGAAAGCTAATATATACATAAGTGAACAACCAAGAAAATAAAACTAGATTAAAAGTTCTAGATATAACTAACAGAGGGAAGAACCAAAGACTAAACAGAAGCAAAAACCCCCATAGCTCGGAGATCTACATCATAAGCTACTCTAACACTTGCTGGAATTTCATAATGAGGCTTATGTCCAATATGCATATCCATGGCATATTTAGAAAGATAATGGGCTACATAGTTGATCTCCCTTGGAATATGATTAAAAATTATAGTCATATCCTTATCCTTATTTCTGAGAAGTCTCCCAACATCTATGATCAAAGCAACAAGTTCATGGTGAGGATCTTCAGTATCCTTGCTCATCATTCCCTTTATAGCCTGAGCATCAGTCTCCACCTCCAAAAATTGAACGGGGATAGCTCTAGCATAATTTATTCCTTCACGTAAAGCATAGAGCTCAGCAGCCAGAGCTGAGTTGGAATTGTACTTACTGGAAAAGCCAAAGTACCATTCACCCTTATCAGTTCTGAAAACACCTCCTCCTCCAGCCTACTCAGAGTTTTTCCAAGCTCCATCTGTATTCAGCTTCAGAAAACCAGCTCTAGGAGGATTCCACTTAAGAATTGAAGCAGAAGCACTCCTTTCTGTAAGTAGAATTCCTTTACCTTTATTAGTACCCTACAATACAAAGGAATTTATTTGATAATCAATTATAAATCTGTTAAACAAAGAGTTACAATTGTATGTCTCATTGTTAAAAATAACTCCATTTCTTAACTTCCATATATGCCACATCCCCATAGAAAAGATTGCTCTCCACTTTTGAGTCTGAGAAAGATTGAATTTAAGCCAAACATTCCATTTAGACTTCATAAACATGCCATAATTGAACTTAGGGGGAGGTTTCACTTTTTGGAAGATCATTTTCTAAAGAATAGAGGAAGAGGTGCAATCTCTAAACAAATGAAGGAAAGATTCTGGAAGACTGTTGCATCTAGAACAGATAGGATCAAAATAAGGGATTCTAGTAGCAAGCAAAGAAGCAGAAGGGGTAATGGACAAGACACAATTCCACATAAACATTCTGTATTTGAAAGGGACTTTGATTTTCCAAAAATGTTTCCAATTCAAATGAAATAGCAGAGGAATAAGCACAGGAGCTGTAGACTGGAAGTAAGCAGATTTTATAGTAAAAGACCCGGAATTGTGGTACAGCCATCTAATTTGATCAGGGGAAGAATCTGAATCAACAATTGAAAGAGGGGTGGAAAGTATAAGAGGAATGATATGAGGTAGCACATGAATCACATTATCAAGAAACCATTTCCCATTTTGAATGATATTAGAAACTCTCCAATGCTCTTTGGAAGTAGGGACTTCAACAGACATGATTTTATAAAGAAGGGCTTCCCCCACCCAATGATGATACCATAGAGAAGTGTCCTCACCATTACCAATTCTAATGATTAGTCCTTTAGAAAGAAGTGATCTGCCCTTCAGAATATCCCTCCACATAGGGGATTGTGAGAAATTAGAAATGGAATCCAAAAAACTGGATCTTCTAAAGTATTTATCTTTTAAAATTTGCACCCAAAGTTTATTAGGCTGGGTTAGAATAATCCATCCTAATTTAGCCATAAAACACAAATTCCACTCCTTCACAGATCTCATCCCTAAACCCCCTAGAGCAATAGGAAGGGTAACATTAGACCATTTGGTTCTAGGAGTATATCTAATGGAATCAGTCCTATTCTATAAAAATTTCTTACATTGTTTCTTAAGATCATCAAGAACAGAAACAGGAAGAAGGCCAGTTTGCATGGCATGAAGAGGGTAAGAATTAAGAACAGACTTAATCAAAGTACACCTTCCAGCCATATTTAAAGGTTTAGCTTGACATCCCTTGATTTTGTCTAAGGATTTGGTTAAGAGATTCCAATAATCTGTCTTTTTGAGTTTATTAGGACTTATGTTGACCCCAGATATTTCCCAAAAGAACAAGAAGATTGAAATCCAGCCAAAGTGGAAATCTGATGTCTAATACTAAATTCCATTTTAGGAGGGAAAATGATACTAGATTTAATCTCATTGATCCTAAGACCAGAAAAATTCCCAAACTGAGCTAGAATATCCAGCATAATTTGGAGATTGGAAATATTGGTTGATCCAAATAAGAAAACATCATCAGCATAGAATAAATGGGAAAGGCTGTGATTTTTAGAGATTTTAAGAGGTTTCCAATTCCCTTTATTAACACTGTCTTCAATTAACAAAGAAAGTCTTTCCATGCAAAGAACAAAAATATAAGAAGAAAGAGGATCCCCTTGTCTTATACCCCTAGATGGTTTGAAACTGTCAGTGATCTCCCCATTCCACAAAACAGAAATAGAAGGGGATGAGATGCAATGCATAATCAAATCAAGAGAAGCTTGAGGAAACTTATGATAATGAAGTGTATCCTGAATAAAGGACCACCCCAAGCAATCATAAGCCTTTGTTAAATCAAGCTTGAGAGTCATCACATTTTTACCCTTCTTACATTTATGAAATAAATGAGCAACCTCTTTGATAAGAATGATATTATCCTCCATACATCTTCCTTTGATAAAACTAGATTGCAAAGGGCTTATGATTCTATGGAACATACCCCTTAATCTAGAAGAAAGAATTTTAGTAACAAGTTTATAAATTGTATTGCACAATCCTATGGGTCTAAAATCAGACATAGACATAGGATTATCCTTCTTTGGAATCAAAGAAATGTATGAATGATTGACATCACTAGGAATACAACAATCCCTAAATATTTGAGAGATAAAAAGATGAATGTGTTGACCTATAACATCCCAAAAATTTTGAAAGAAAAGAGGCTGTAAACCATAAGGGCCAGGACTTTTAATAGGATCCATGAGAAAAAGATTGGATTAGACCTCTTCTATACTAGGAATGGAGACCAAAAGAGAACACTCAATCTCACTAAGCTTCTGAATAGCAGGTTAGGGAAGAGAATCAGAATGAGGGGGGATGGAAGAAGAAAAAAGGGAAATAAAATGAGCCCTTGCTAAATTCTTTAAAGAAGGAATGTCTTCAATCAGAACACCATCAACATTATAAAGAGCAAGAATTTTGCCTCTACTTATTTTAACCTTAGCCAAAATATGAAAATATTTGGTGTTATAATCCCCAAATTTTCTCCAATTTATACCAGCTTTCTGAGCCCAAATAACTCTCTCCATCTTATATATAGCATTAAGATCAGACAGAAGAGACTTTTCCAAATTAATAAGGAACATGGAATAGTTAACTGCTAAAGCTTTCTGGATTCCATTGAGCCTAGCTAAGATGATTTTCTTTTTCAGCTTTAGATTCCCAAACACATTAGTATTCCAACTATTAACATTGGTTAAAAAGTTAGACCTACCATCAAGAAAGGGTAAGGGAGAAGAGTTCCTAAACCATTAGGAAATAAAAAATTCTTTGAATTGAGCATGTTGAAGCCAGACATCCTTACATCTAAAAGGAAAAGGGCCACTGGCAGGAGCTGGATTAAAAGTAACAAGAATTGGGCAATGATCCGAGTAAGTTCTCACCAAATTAGTTACCTGAACTTGGGGAAAAGAAGCTATAAAAGCAGCGTTGGATATGGCACGATCCAAACGTTCCCTGATATGATCCTTCCCCAGCCTGGCATTCTCCCAAGTATAAGGGTTTCCCCGAGCACCTAAATCGATTAAGCCAGTTGAGTCAGTGAAATTGGTGTAATCTTAACATTGTGAACTTCGAAAGGCACGACCTCCCTGCTTCTCCCCTTGGGAGGTGACTTCATTCATATCCCCTACCAAAAGCCAAGGAGTAGAAGAGGGAGGTAAATTGCTTTGTTAGGAGTTCCAAAAAGCATGTCTGTGAGTAGCAACACTTGGAGCATGCATACCTGTGATAAGAATTTTAGGCTGATGATTATGAAATTCGAATAGAGAATGAAATTTCTCCTCTGAATCAGTATAAAGCAGCTGATCAAGGGTGGATTTCCAGAAAACACAAATGCCTCCTTTTAATCCAACAGACGGAATTACCCTATGATCATAAAAGCCTAATTTTGTCTTCAAATCCGAAGCTTTACCAGAACCACACTTTGTTTCAAGTAAGATAAGAATATCAAGCTTATGATTATTAACTAAATCCCATGCATGGGGGAGAAGATCATCATTATTCACTCCCCTCACATTCCAAACGATCAACTTCATTTTTATTTGTGGAAGAGGTTTCTGGGGAGATAGTCTAGGAACATCATTGGGAAGAGAATTCAGAGGAAGGAAGAACTCCTCCCAGTCCCTCCAATGAGTCCAATACCCTAGCCCTATTACATACTCCACTTTCACTGGAGAAATGTAGCTTCTAATGCTCATGCACCTCATTAGCTGAGGGATGTAGAAGAGCTGCACCTGGATCTCTAACACCTCCTCTTGCGTTAGGTAGATTGCCATAGGGTGTCCCAACTTTGCCATGTCTTGACCTTTTGTTGCGGAATGCAAGGGAACTATTGGAAGTCTCTCGTACGCACTTCTGAAATTCATTAATCTTTCGTGAGACTGCCATTGGAGAGATAGGCTCATCCGTGCATGGGGGGGCATCATTTCCTCCCTCCATCGAAGAGCATCCATTACTGCCATTGCTGAGGCCGACTGAAGCAATTCGCTCGCCGGAATTCTTATCGGAGTGCAAATTGGTCTAGGCTCCTAAGGGAACAGAGGCAGAGCTATCTGTGGAGAGGGGAGTTGTTGAATATTCCATTTCTTGGTGATCAGCGGCTTCTGAAACTGATAAGTTAACATTGGAGGAGGAGTAGAGAGGGGGGTTTGAAGGGTGGATGGTGGAACTCCCTGAGTTGCAGAGCATAGGAGAGATGGAGGGTGAGGAACATTGAGGGAAGGTGAAGGAGTTGGTCTGGTCGGAACTGGTCTCCAAATTGGAGTTGTCCGCGATGATGTGGTTATGGGAGTCTGAGTTAAGGACAGGGAGGATGGGATTACTATTTTATTGTTTTCCATTTTTGTTAGGAACAGGACAAGGGGGAATAAAACCAGAAGAGGGAAAGCTTGGAGATGAAGTCTGATTGAAAGGGATGGGAGAACTATTTATTGTTGTACTTAATGATTGGCCACTTTTAGCTAAAACAGGTGAAATATCATAACTCAAGTTATCTAAATTTGCAGTAGGGAAATCTTGCTTGTGATTTTCCACTGACACTGAAGCCAAGTGTTTAACTTGAGGAATAATAGAATTAGCAGAAGATGAACCTTCAGTTTGAAACTTGGAAATAATTATAGGAGAAGAGGAATTAATGTTCGAATCAGAAGTAGGTGGCATTAAATCTTGCACAGTAGCACCTTGAGCTGATTCATCTCCCGAAATACTCATAGAAAGAACCCTCCATAAATTTTTCGAGTTGTGGGAAGATTTATTACCCGAGTTTAAATGTTTCTGATTTTGAACTCTGGAGCCATTAGCTTTATTCTTGGCATTCTGAGAAGCTGTAAAGTTTCTATTTGGAGTGGGATTGGATTGGGATTTTGTTCTATTCCTTTTGGATCCAGTAACTAAGTTCCATGGGCCATAATCCACTATAGACAAAACAGAAGTATCTTTGTGGGCCTGAGAATCAGAACCAAGAGGTAGCCCACTGCCCAAAACTGAAGTATCAGCCTTAGAATTCTAAACATTCTTGATGACCTCTTTTGAAATAGCCACATTACCTTGAGTGGAAGAAGAGGGCTCTAAAGAGGGAGACACCTGGGAACATTCCTTAGCCACATGCCCAATTTTGCCACAATGAAAGCACAGAGAATGAATATTCTCATATTGAACTTGCTGCCAACCACCGCCAACCCAAACCTTGGACACAAGCGGATTGGTCATGGAGATTTCAATACACACTCTAGCATACCTTTGAAGCGATTTGGAAAAGGGCTTCTTATCATAGTATTCTACAGGGAGCTCAGGGAATCTAATCCATGCAGACATGTAATCAAAGTCTGTAGTAGAGGATCTAAAATTAGGTTTCCATTTGGTGACAACCAAGTAATGATCCAAAATGAACCAAGGCCCTCCATAAAGTGCTCTTTCATAATCATTCAAACATGAAAAGCGGAATAGGTATACATTATTTCCTACATCAATTGTTTCCAAAACACCCTTAATTTTCCACATAATTTTAGCTCTTGTGTTCATAAAAGTTGGCCTTATATTTATTCCTAGACACCTACCCATAAGAGTAAGTTTCCAAGGTTCCCTTAATCTCGACAACAGTTGTGGAGTAAAGGATACTGCCAAATCTGACCAGGGGATGCAATCCGGTTGATCATCCCAATCTAACGAAGTCAAGGCAATATTCCGGGCTTCCTTAAACCACTGAGTTGAACCAGCAACTGCCTCTCTAAAAGAGATTGGATGAGATGCAGGGGGGTTGATAACCACCGAGGGCTCAGTAGAAGTGACTGCAGAGGGAACATCAGCAATTACATCCAACATCATCTCCTCATTTGTACTACTAGCATTAATATCATGCCTCAGAGAAGAATTTACACGTACCTCAACTTATAAAGTTTAACTTAAATTAACTCCCAAGGCCTCCACACCCCTGGGCATGAAGGAAAATCCCTAGTGATTCACATAAGTAAACAAATATAAGATTGATAACATTTAGAAGTTAGAGAGAAGTCAAAGAGAAATTCTAGAGAGAGAAGTCAGAAGTGACTGCTTGGAGGTTTGCTCGTCTTAATTATGAATTTGACTCGTTGATTATTAATCTACAATTGAAGGACTATGTTTAGGTGAATTATTAACTGCCCCATATCTCGAAATCTAAATCTTCTAGAGCTCTAGGCTGTGCTGCCTATTGGGATAAATTTTGTTGTAATCTCTTAACACTTCTTATATTCTTTATTACTTGACGTGCTTTAACTTGTACATTATTCACCACCCTTCTTTAACCTTCTTTAACCTTCTTTTGTGAATAATATGTAAGGAAACACATATTTCCATGAGATCTTTTTGAATTCATCTCAATAAGTACTATCATAATACTACATCTGTTTCATATTATTTCGTACTGTACTATCATAATACTGCATCCGTTTCATATTATTTGCAAATAAGTACTATCATAATACATCAGTTTTATACAAGTATTATTTACACTATTCAACACCCTCCTTTAATCTCACTTTATACCAAATCGTTGCTAATAATATATAACCGAGGTATTATATAACTTTCATAATTTTTATGTATAGGAAGTATCTTAAAGTCATGATTGGAGTTAGAACGAAAGTTTTCAGAAAAGATCACGAGACTCCTCAATTATTGATGTCGATTGTACGGTTCAACTATTCAGAATTAGTATACCCAATTTCCCAGATAGAACTACGAAATTGAAGCTTTTTTCATACACTACTCGTTAATAATTTTGATAGTTGAATTAAAATTGGTGCATTGGGACTTTTCTCATACACTACTCATTATAAAAATAAGTATGAGGTATCACTATTCACTAATACAAAAATCAACATTAACAAATAAAATTCGTATTTGGTTTTACTGTCAACAAGAAGCATAAATAAAATATAACCCCATTTTTCATAGATTCAAAAATCAACATTAACTAATAAAATTCGTATTTGGTTTTACTGTCATAGAAACAAATTCATAAAACCATATCAACACTGACTTCAATTAAATAATTAAAATAACCCCATTTTTCATAGATTCAAATATGAAAAGTATGCACACTTGGTCTCATATTCATGAGATTCGAGCAACCGACTGATCTTAGACTCGCAAAAGTTTTGCTAACACGATCACAACCACATGAGAATGATGAAAAGTAAGAACATCAAACTAATATCTAAGGCAAAAACTAAAATCAGATTTCATTCCAAGTTCCAAAAATCTCTTTAAATCGGTCAAAACCCAAACTTACTATATCAAATTAAATAATTTAAAACACTATACTGCACAGTACGCTCAAATAAAAATCAGATTTTCATTTTCCGAAAATCTCTTTAAATCGGTCTTGTTTTTTTCTTGTTTTTGCGGTCAGAGGATACAAACATATTCTCACATTCATTACCCTTCGAAAAATAATTACAGTAATAAATAATATTAACATATTAGGAACAACCATTAATTAATTTAATTTGTAAACACAGACAACCTTAACAAATTTCATCCTGACAACCAAAACAAATTTAAGCTTAAAATCAACACATATATAATCGTAATCACTAAACAGAACAACATAGCATAAAGCATTGATAAAATGGGTTCATCATATATCAAAATCATCGAAAATACCCATAAACAAAACCATAGCAATAATGTGACCAAAATTAATCCTAAAAAGATAACACAAATCCAACATTGGAATAAAAAAAACCATGAAAAATATTACTGTTTTTTCTTTCTCTAAAACCTGAGTTTGGAGAAAAACCAACGATTCTTTCCAGTCTTGAACCTCTCCTCGAACCTAGCCTTAGTCTCTTTCGCAGCAGTAACCTTCTTATCCTTGGATTGAAGAACTTCAGCAGAAACAACATCCTTAAGATCAACATCAAGAGTGTAACGAGTAGGCATAATGTGATTGTAATTCACAACTTTGACGAAGCATTTGACCCTCGATTTCTTCGCTTGTTTCTTGGCGGAATCCTTGCGAATCACCTTCTTCGGGTACTTGTTGATGCCGGCGACAAGACAGTGCCCGTAACGGCGGTCGCGGCTACCTTCGTCGAAGTTGCGGACTATCACGGCCTTGCGCCCGGCGTAACGACCTTGAAGGAGGATTACGGCCTTCCCTGGTTTGAGAAACTTCACCATTTTTAGGGTTTTCTCTCTCTTTCTCTCCTCGCGGAAGGGGGGCTGGGTTCTGGTTTCGGAAATTAGGGTTTGGAGAAGTGGGGTTATTTATAGTTGGGGGTGATTGTTTTGGTAGGGTTTGGACTTTGGTGTCAAATAATAATGATAATGGGCTACAAATTGTTATGGGCTCCAACGGAATGAAATAAGATATGGAGTCACTGATTAGGCCTGTTGGTCATGAAAAAATAAGATACTTCGCAGTTAGTTTTTTCCCAAATTTTTAGCTATACACCGGTGCACTTAATTTAGGTGCAACAATATTAAGGGTTTGTTCTCTTACATTGAAATTCAGTTCACTTCAATTCAGTTCAGCTCAGTTCAGTTCAGCTCCTAATTTCCTTCTCTTATAAAATATTCATTTCAGTTCAGTTCAGTTCAGTTCAGCTCAGATCAGTTCAGCTCAGCTCAATTCAGTTCAGTTTAGTTCAGTTCAGTCCAGTTCAGCTGAGTTCAATCAATAAGAATAGGCCCTAAATATATAGCGCATCTCCTGTGCAGCTGGCCACACAGTGTGGCCAGCGTCCAGCTCAGCAAAAAATAACGGAGGTTCACGCACGCGTCATTTATTTGCTAAAAGTAACAAAATCCAAAAAACATGCGCTACTCCTCCTTCATTTCTTAAAAGCGCCAACATTCACACAAATCCATAGAGCCACCGCTTTTACTTATCAGTTTCACCAAAATCTCGTAATTTGCGGGAAAAAAAAAAAAGAGAACTACAATGACTGAAGAATTACAGAACTTTCTAGAATCAACGGAAATCGAAGAAATAGATGATTTATTGTTGAATCTGGAGGTCGAAAAAATTCTAGAAAACAACGACATACAAGGTAAAAATAAAACTCATTCACATTTTAATTTATTACTGATAATCCCTAAAAAGTGTTTTGGGTAAAATTACCCAAGACGCATGGCCCAATCAGAAGCTAACACGTGTCAACCTATGAGAGGTCCAAATGGATTTCTTACTTAATAACACGTGTCCCTCCAAGAAAATGGGAGAAAAAGGCTGCCTTTCTTGCCCAAATCCCGAGAAAGTCGTATTACGGCGCAGCCCACCAAACTTAGGTTAGATGGACCTAAGAAAAGGCACTTTCCCAATGACCCTATAAATAAAGAAATTTTTTACATTTATGAGGCAGATGCATTTATTACATCAACCCTACATTCTTTCACATCAGAGAAAGCACCTGATATCGGAATCCGAGAATATCTCACTTTCATCTTTTTTCGCATCTTTTCATATTCTTCGACAAATACTAACTTGATCATTGGAGGTGGAGCTAGGGGTGAAACTAATTTGTTTATAAACGAACCAAACCGCAAACCGAACCGAATTAGAAATATGGTTTGTTTTTTTTTTCCTAATGTGGTTTGGTTTGGTTTATAAAATCGAAAAAACCGAATTAGAGTGGTTTGGTTTTGGTTTAATGATAGGTCGTCGCCGAGCCTACCAAAGATAAAGTCCTATCTTGGCCTCACTAGCTAATAGCAAGGGTAAGAAAGGGTTGAACCCAAGAGAGGCGTTGAATCAACCGCCGAGATACTACCGTTTAAATAAGCTAAATGAAGTCGAAATTAGTTTGGTTTTATGTAACATTTACTAATTCAAATCAACTAATACTAAGGAGTGATTAACAATAATTAGAGAATTCTAGGGCTCAGGATATACCACTCAATTTCGTCATAAATCACAAATCACAAATAGCATGTAGGCAAACAATGATAAATTAAGGGGATAATATAGGGAAGTCATCTAAAGCACCCAACTACTCTCTCAAGCTAGAGAGATTACTTGAATCATGAATACAACCTATTCTCGTGGTTACAAAGTATAAAACAAGTATTAAAGCATAATCACGATGACAAAAACATTCCCTTGACTGGAAATTCCTATTCTCATGGCATTTCAAGTCAATTAAGCATAAAGGAGCTAACTCAAGTTCATCTCTTGATCCTTCGTTGAGAAAGCTTAGATAATAGTTCTAGCAATGGCCATATACAAGAACTAAGCAATTAAACCACTTAAGCTCAACTAATTAACACCCAACAATTACCAAATTAACACATGCAACAAGTAATTAGTGACTACATTGAGGGTTTTACCCAAACCCTAGAAAATTAGACTACTCACAATCCATGGAGATTAAAGCAATTAAGGAATTGATAGGTTATCGTACACCTGTCAAAAATAAATTCCTAACAAAACCGACTAACAATGTAGTAGGGTAAGTAGGGTCAAATCCACAGAGATATAGCTATTCAATAAAACTTCTAAGTTATGGAGAAACTAAACAAGTCACGAAATTGGGATAAGAATATAGTCTAAATTAAAATAGGAATAAAACAACTAATAAAAAAAACCTAGGGTTATGGTTCACCATGCTTATAATTCTAAAACTATAAAATATCAATAACAATTCAATTAATCAATTATCTAGAGCAATTTCTAAGCCTACGGTCGGGTCTTAACGCTCTCAATTCAACATATGTAGTTCGGTCACTAACATAATCAAAATTGCTAATTGTAGGTAAGCCTCTAAAAGTAAGATCTTTCGATTCGAACTCTTATTACCAATAATTAATCAAACAATTGATGATATTGATCAGGTTGCAAGATTAACAATAAAACACTACCAATTAGAGATAACAATAATCAAAATATCAATAATATCAATCAAGATTCATAATATAAACATGGATTCCCAAACCCTAGAAATAAACTACTCTAGCATGAAATAAATAATAAAAACTAGATCTAAGGAAGAAAACATAATTAAAAGCAATAAGAAAATAGAAATAAAATACCTTAATGAATAAAATTAATAAACTCAAGAACAATCCATGGAGAATCCATGGAGTTGCTCATCAGAAAAACTAGGGCTAAGAAAATGAACGTAAAAACGGTCTAAGGGAAAAATAATAATCCCTTGAAGTATTTATAAACTTCCTAAATCTTATCTAAAACTAATTAAAGAAAAGAAATAAGAAAGTATAAATTACATAAGTTGCAATGCTATTGGGCGATAGATGATGACGTGGCATAAAACCGTATGTGAGGTCGAGGGATCGATACAAGTTATATGTGCAGCGATGATGCTTCGTGGGATTCTTTGGCGATAGTCAAAGTAGCCGATAGGGACAGAGAATGATTTAAGACGTTCTGCGATCCTAAATCACTCTGTATACGTCGATACCTGCAGAAAAATGTTAATTCCACATATAAAAAGACTAAAAGGATAAAATAAGTATATGACACCAGTGTATCGGTGACAAATGATTTTGATAGCTTCCTATGCTTGAAGGAATCCGCCGTATGACGTTCGTTGAAACGCTTTCCATGCCTGAGGAAAGCCGACTGGTGAATTTGGTAGCTTTTTAAGCCTGAAGAAACCTACCGGATGATACTTTCCATGCCTAAGGAAAGCCGACTGATGAATTTGGTGTCATTCTATGCTTAAAGAATTCCACCGATAATGCCTTCCATGCTTGAGGAAAGCCGACTTGGTGGTTTTTTATACTTGAAGAAAAATCCACCGATAACGCTTTCCATGCTTGAGGAAAGCCGACTTGGCGGTTTTCTATACTCAAAGAAAAATCCACCGATAACGTTTTCCATGCTTGAGGAAAACCGACAACTTATGTAATCGCTGAAATTTGCAAGTGTATGATGGTTCGATTATCCCCGAATGTGGGCCGCAGATGATTCACACCTTCAAGTCGACTATCCGACCATATTAGGTATTTAAAATATCGACAAAATTGATTTGATTTGGGTATTTTTACCCGGCCAGGTGGCCCAATCAGAAACTGTCATGTGTCATTAATAAAGGTGCCATTTGGACCTATGAGATGATGACACGTGGTGGGCGAACATCCTTCTGTCCTAAAAAGATTGATGATCCAGCATGGACCATTCAGAGGGCAACGCGTGTCACCCTAAAAGATGCCCAAACGCCTTTTGGGCTCAGTGACACGTGTCACTCAGACATTGCCTCTGGAATGGCGGCCTTCAAGGGCCCAAACCTTGAGGCGCCGTTTTGCGGCGTGACCTAATCCCTAGGTCACCAGATCCCAGGGAGGGCACACTTTCCAAAAGGACCCTATAAATAGGGGCAGTTCCTACATTTATGACAGGAACGGATACACGCAATACGAGACAACACGTCACTTTCTCATTTATTACAGAGCTGTTGTTTTTAAGGAATAGACAACACTTTACCTGAGCTTGGAATCCGAGCTGATAACTTTATTTCCGCACGTTTTACTACCGAATACCATCCGGCGGTCCGTTTGCTTTGCGGGTACATGCGTTCTTTGCTGAATCCAGTCTCAGTGTTGTAACTCTCCCAAGGGACAAAAACCCCCGAAACATTTGGCGCCGTCTGTGGGGAGAGTACCTCTGAAATAACTTCACAAGTCCCTGTACCGAATCCTGAGGCCAAACAGCCTCCAGAAGACATAGTGGTCCAGACGGACCATGATTCAGGGGACGACGCTGATGTCGAAACCTATGTGGATCCTAACGGGTCCCTCATCTCAAAACGCATCCGCAGTAGGGAAAAGCGGGAGCGTCACACTGATCAGGCGGGGCCAAGCAAAACTACTGGTCAGCCAAAAAAGACCTCGGTGCGGACGGGTGATCCTTCCCTGGCGGCAGGATTGACTCCCGTCACTCGAGATGAACTCATGAAAATCCTGAGCAGTCTCAGGGGTGAAATCAAACAACTCGCCTCAAAGAAGTCGCCTACTCCTAGAAAGGAGCAGTCGGCCAAGAAACCAGCCCAGGCTGGCAAACAGAAGTCGGTCAGGGATCGTCAACCGACTCTTCATCCTGCCCCTACGGAGAAGGCTCGACCCCAATTTGACCTTACCAGGCTCCGTTTCCCAGAAACGGGCACAAGAAAAGCCATCCGGCACATACAGCGGATGGTAGCAAGAAAACATTCTCTGATGCTCGACAATACATTGGGCAGAAGAAGACCCAGCTATCAGAGTCGGCTTCAACGTCGACCTACCATGATAGCTTT